CCCTGGGGAAAGCAGGCAGTGCAAAGGGAACCTGTCCATGCGCACACAGACACCTGCCATGTGTGCAGATCTGAGTGAGATCCAAGAAGCAGGCAGCGGTGGGATCCTGGGGAGAAGGGGAAAAAGAATGAACTGAATTTTCCCCACATGCTCCTTTGTACTGTTTGGATATTTTTTCTCATGTGCAGTTTTTAATGTTAAAAAGTTCCTTCATTCAGTCAACAAACATCTGTGGAGTCTATAATGGTTCTCAGATATGGAAAGAGAGAACTGAGGTGCACCAGGAAGGGCCTTGACTGCCTGGTGCCCTCAGGACTCACCAGCCCTAGGAGGTAAGAGGGAGCCGGCCACCCTGCCATCTGCACTGGGGCACTTCCGTCCTCACAGAGACCCTGCAGCTCTGCTGAGCAAAGGGGTGCCTCTGATTAAATGTCAAGAGGGCAGCGTCGGCCAGGGCAGCCCTCAGCAAGCCATGTGTCTATGTGGCCCGGATGGGATGAGCCCGCACAGCCGGAACCCAAGACTGGAAAAAGAAGGGCACACACTGTGGGAGAAGAAGAGGACAGAGCCCCGAGCAACTCTTTGAAGGTGTGGTGGGATTTAGATGGCAGAGCCAGACAGCAGGGAGAATACCGGCCAACAGGCATCTGCGTCCCAAGTCCCAGGCCTGGGCTCCACTGCAGGGTCTCTGACATTTCTTCTTCATGGCTCTGGAAATTGAGACACTTGGGATGGCTGCATCCACATACTCAGGCCTGGGGAGGCTCCCTCCCCTGTTCACAGACAGTGCCTTCTTTCTTTCTGTAGCTCACAACGGTGGGGCAGGGCAGAGTTCCAGCTACCTGAGTCTCTTCCTCCTTTTCTAAGGATTCCCACACAGGGCTCACCCTCAGGACCTCCTCTAAGGCTAATCTCCTCCCAAAGTCTCCAAACGGAGTGAGCAGTCAGTGTGTGAATGAGAGTGGGACCCATAGCATTACCATCTATGGCCAAAGGGACTTGGGAAACATAATGAAGCTTCCTAAGCAGGTGCCACTGAGAAAGAAGCCAATCCTGGATTATCTGTGTGATCCTGCAAGTCGTTTAGAGGCGCAAGATGAAGACAGAAGAGTTGTGAGATTGAGGCAGGGAGGGGCCTGCTACCCTGCTGCTGGCTTTGCAGCTGGAGAAACCACCTGATGGAGGATGCAGCAGCCACAAGGGGCTGAGGGCATGTCCTTCTCTGACATCCAGGAAGGAAGCAGGGATCTCAGCCCCATGACCATGAAAAGCCAAAGCCACAGGGGAGCTCAGAGCTGGTTCTTCCTCAATTCCCAGGAAAAGGCCCAGCTGGGCCATATCCCTGAGGCCAGTGTTAAAAGAGTCCAGCTGAGCCCACCAGACTTCCGCCTGCAGACACTGAGAGAGCAGGTGCACAGGTATTGTTGTTAGTGACTGAGTTGATAGTAACTTGCACAAACCAGAGAAAACCAACACCGGGTTTTCCATTGAGGGAGAAAAGAAAAAGTCCATTTCACTGTGGGGACAGTGGCCATGGCACAAATCCCCATGGGGCCCTGCAAAGCTGTCCAGCTGAGGAGGCAGCAGAGGAAACCCACAACAGGCAGCCCCCAAAGCAGTCTTGGGGTCCAGGATGCTGAGTGTGGTCTAGATCTGTCCTGAGAGCCCACCCTACTCCCACCTGAGCTGGTGCCTGGCAAGAATGTGGGTGCACATGACCAAAACATTTTTTTCCAAGAAAATCTAGAAGTCCCATTTTTTTGTCCTCATTCTGACCATACAGTCCCTGTGGTGCCCGACCTTGCACAGACACAATGCAGGACTGATGTGTGCCCTCAGCCAGGTGTGAACAAGGGGCAGAGACATCTCTGGAATAAGGTATGCAAATCCTGAGTGTGGATTGTGGGGAAGCACTGGAGAGCCAGCAAGAGCCCCACCACCAAGAGCTCCTATTTATAGAGCCCTGCTGGGTCCTGGCCAACCAGCAGGCCCTGGTCACTGCCAGGCTTATACAACCATTTCCAGAAGAGGAAGTGGGGCAGGAAGCAGCTGAGTTACTGCTGTGATGATGCAGATGTGGGTAATAACCCTGGGCTCCAAATCTGAGTCCTTCCAGAACCGCTCATCTGTAGCACCTCAGCCTGCAGGCCTTGCCTCCTTTTGTTGAGCAGGGCCTGCTGTCAGTCATATTGCCCTACATTGACCAACTTGCTCAACCTCCTGCTCTCTTCCCCTCAGGTCTGCCATGGACCCCCATCCTGCAACTTCCCTCAGCCTGTCACAACCTTAGACTTCATCCCCTGGCTTACTTGTAGCTCAGTCTTTTTCCAATTCCAACTCTCCAAATAAGGAATCTGACTGTTTGGGCTCACTGTTTGTCCCAAGTCAGAATGGGCTAAGCACCAGTCCAAGAAGGTAACACCTTTTGCTTTGTCTACACCCCATCTCCAAGCAACACTGTGTCAGGGCCAATTAGCAGGGGCTGCAGTGGCTGGAGGTCTGAGCAGAAGCTTGAGTGAGTTATTGCCTCTATTGGAATGAAGGCACAGTGCCCCAAAGAGCTGCCCTGCCCCCTTCTGAAAGCTCATAAATGCCCCTTGAGCTGAGGAGCCAGGGCCTGCAGAGCTCAACACACAAATGGTACTCCCAGTTGTGGCTGGAGGAGCATAGCCTACAGGTCATCAAATTCAATATGCCCATGAGGAGAGACGCAGCCTCCACTGCCAACCTCAGGGATGCCTCACCATGGAGTAGACTGACCCCAGGAGAAGGTGCTCTTGTGTAAGCGACAAGCCCTCACCCTGCTGGTTGCTAATGTGGAGACCCCAGGATGCCCCTGCAGGCTGCACAAGCCAGTGGGATTGGGGAACTGAGGAAAGATGAGGTTAAGGACTCGCGAGCACAGGTCCTCCCTGGAACACAACCGCACCAAGTGCTCACTTTGTGCAGACTGGAGGTTTTCAAGACAGCGTCACTCTTCATGCTGACACTAAACAAAGAGCATAGCTATGCAGCAAATGTACCATTTGATGTTCTAAGCTATGTATATACTTGTACACTTCACCCCAATCAGGATAATGAATCTATCCATCACCCTAATTTCTTCATGGCCTTTCATAATAACCCCACCCCTCTTCTTTCCCACCTTTGCCCCACTTCCTGGAAACCATTGATCTTTTCTGTCGCTACTGTTTGCATTTTCTAGTATTTATAAATAGAATCATATAGTAACTGTTTGGTTTTCTATGGCTGGCTCCTTTCACTCAGTGTAATTACTTTGATTTTGTCCACTGATTTTGTTTTGATTTTGTCCATTTTGTTGCATATATATTAATGCTTTATCTCTTTTTATTGCTAAGTATTCCATGGCATGATGCACCATTGTGTGTTCAACCATTCTTGTATGGATAGACATCATACCAGGTTTTATATTTGTGCATATAGCTGCCATCTGCCTTGTGAAAATATCTACCAATGGAAGGCTGGATTGTTCAGCAGGTGCTATGGTTTGGATGTGTCCATCTAAAAGTTCAGGTGAGCCAGGGAGATGGTTCAGTAGAATAAGTGCTTGCCTGGCAAGCACAAGGGCCTGAATTCAATCCCTGGTTCTGCAAAAAATAAATAAATAAATAAAAATTAAAGTTCATGTGTTGGAAACTTAACCCCCACAATATGCTAATATTATTTGGAGGTGGGGCTTTCAGGAAATAATCAGGGTTCAGTGAGGTCATGAGGGTGAGGACCCCACCAGGACATCCGTGGCTTTAGAAGAAGACCTGAGCATGAGTCTCCCTGTGTGACACCCTCTGCCTTGTCAAGATACAAAAAGAAGGCCTCATCAGAGCCCAGGGTCTTGGACTTTTCAGCCTCCAGAGCTGTAAACCAATAAACACCTTGTAAATTACTCCATCTTGGGTATTATGTTACAGCAACTGAAAATAGACTTAGTAAGCAAGTGTCAGCACAGCAGTTTGGGTGCAACTGGGTATCAGAGTGTCCATGCTGTCATATTTAACCTATAAGACACAAAAATTACATTCCAACCACATGGGAGCCAGTGACACACATACATGCACACACATACACACACACACACACACACACACACACACACACAATTAGGAGGTCAGCTGACATCATCCAAGGTCTCACACACAATGGGTGGAGAAAGACCCTAGGAGGGAAAAGTCCCTCCAGTTTTTATAAAGTGCTCCATACACAAGAGCCCAGCAGCATCAGTATTTTAGAAATGACTCAGAGAGGTCCCTGTCATCTGTCTCCAGGAGATCTTACAAATGGAGTAGCACCTCACTGGCCCTTAGGAGAAGGCATTGCATGAAGTCAAGTAGCAGGGTGGTCCCGCCAACATCCTGGGAACCTGGTAGCAACACCCATTTTCCCCAGCCTGCACCTAATGAGTGAGGTGGCCACAGCCAGTCTGGACTTGAACCAAACTTCCAGGTAACTTTGGTGCATGCCCTGGGTTAAGAACCAGTGGCCTAGATCACCTTGCAACTTTCCTAGAGCTGACCCCATTGGAAGTTGTAACATACCAGAAGCATCACCCTCTATTGGCCAGATTGCATCCTCAAAAGCCCTGCAACAGACCAGTCTACCAGGTGGCATGCAGACTTGCACCATGAATCACTCTTTCCCCAAAGCATCAAACTTCAAATCTAGAAAATTCTCAGGAACTGTCATTGGAGCATTTAAATGTAACTATCAGCATCCCCCCCTCCACTACATGTGACTTCAGCCTGTTACATTGAAGAATAAATGGAGCTAGGAAAAGAAAAAGACCAAGATTTGAGGTGATGCACTTGGTGCTCTTTACATGACTCTCACTGCAAATGTACACAGCAGCAGCAGAATTCACCACACTTGAGTAGGAAGAATCTGAGTAAAAAATATCAGGTTCTTTATACTTTAATCCTCATTTTAAGCAAGATTTCCATTCAACATTATCATTAGAGAGAAGTTTTGCTCTTTTCCTTGGCTACTTCTTCATGCTTAATATTTAGCCCAATCTTTAAAAACCTTCTCCAGTTTCTGGCTGAGGAGAACTTTGCCGCTCACTTTGAACTTGCCAGCCAAGAAAGCCTTTTGTGGGTTCATTTTCCCCAAAACTAACTCCATGAAGACAGACTCCGGGATTGTGAAGACAGTGTCTGCTGGGAGCCCTGCAGGTCCCAGGTACATGTCCCCAGCACTGTTCTTCAGGTCAATGGTCCACTGCAGAATGGTCCGGCCATCTTTGGTGATATCCAGCTGGAAGACGGCATTTACTTTCTTCACCAGCTGGGCCCCTGAATCTTTGATGTAATGACTGATGCCCTCCAGCACGGGGAAGCTCTGCAATCCTGAGATCTCATCAGGGGGTGGTGTGGCTGGGTCACTAGCCGATCTCAGAGCTTTCAACTGACCCGCCTTGAATTCATCCCCAGCTTTTATCTTGGACAAGTGGTCCGTCCTCTTCCACATCGTACTGTGCTGGTTGCCTTGGCCTTGCTGGTCTGGTCTGTGAGCAGCTGGGGTCAGACTAACAGACATAATCAGATTGTGACATCAAAGGCAAGGCCCAAGCACAAACTGAAGCTGGTACGTGTCCTGCAGTCTCATTGGCCAACAAATCCTAAAATATGACACAAGATGAGGACTCAACCAGGTCATTGTGAGACAGATACACATGAGTGCACACACATACCCAAAACAAACCAGGGCCATTGGCCCACGGGCCCAAGAGGTCTGCAGCCTCCAAAGCAGAGGAGGGAATTGGACCCTGCGGGGTTCTTTGGGCGGGTCGAACATTGTCTTTCTAATGCAAGCATTTGGCAGGCCACAACTCTTAACAGAGAAAACCTATTCCAGTTGTTTTGAAAGTAGATAATCCTTGAGACACAAATCTGCTGTTTGCCTTGGTCCTATCAGAATGCTGGCAGAGAAAAACCTATCAGCACCAGGGCCCACATCAGAAACCTTGTACCTCCCAGGGGAGGGGAGAGAGGGGAAGAGGGGGAAAGGGGGGAGAGGGAGAAGTAACCCTGGGCTCAGCAGAAGATAATTATGTATAGCCCTTGCTCTGAGCTGAGGTACTGAGTTCTAATTGCTGTACATGTATTTAATTTTCATTACACATGTAATGTTCCTTACAATTCTTGTAGGTGGGCATTATTTTTATTTGTATTTTACTGATGAGGAAACCGAGACAAGTGAGAAAACTTTCCCTGATTTTATGAAGCTGAGAAGTTATGTGACCAGATCTAAACAGAAGCAGATGGCTCTAGAAGACAGTTATTTTTCACCTCTTACTTTGAAATGCTTTTAGCTTTGCAAAAAGTTTGCAGAGCTGGTACTTGGTACTGGTAGTACTGGTGTCACTTGTACCCAACTCCCCAAGTGAACACTGTACATAACCTCAGGATGGTGATCTCGTCTGAGAGGTTAACACCAGCGCAGTGCCATTAACTGATCTACAGGTGCCGTTTGGATTTGCCAGAGGTCCTTGAGAGTCTGCTTCCTGGTCCAGAATCCAGATTCCACATCACTTCCATCAGTGTGTCTTTTGGTGCCCTGCAGTCTGGGAGAGCTCTTCGGTCTGCAAATCACGACCTTGGCCCTCCAGGAGAATCTCTGCCAGGTATTCAGAAAGCAGCCTTGTTTGAAGTCTATCTCTCATCTTCTCTTCATTAACTCAAGTGAGGCAGGACTGTTACACTCATGCCACCCCACTTCTCCAGTGCAGTTGGTTACTCCTGTTGCCTCTGCAAGTCAGAGGGGACGTTCTCGGAGACCCGTAAAACATGTGTTTTGCATTGTCTTTGGCCTCCTCATTTCTGCTTCCAAGCCCGGCCCATACCTGTAACAAGCGCTGTGATTTGGGTCAAGTGGTCGTGTTACACACTTTACATTCCGATCACTCCTGGCAATTTCATACTTGGAATTCTGCTGTGAGAAAAATCTGTGCCTTCTTCCTCTTACCTTTATTTGCCCAACTACTTGCCTCGATACGACTTGTAGATATTTGTTCTGTGGGTCACAGCCTGCGATTATCCTGATTTGCTTGCTCAGTCACAGACCCGGCCACCGGGCGCTCAGTCAGGCTGGCGGCTCAGTGCTCACCCACACAGAACCGCTCTCACCTGTGAGAGAAACTGCGCGGAACAGAGCTACACAGAACTGCTGCTGAATTTGTTGCCTGTAGGGTGAAAGCAGAAGAGTATAAAAGGCTTTGGCACATTCAAAAGGATGGATGAGCTGGGATTATCAGCTTCTGGCATAAACAAAACCCAGCGGCATCCAAAACCAAGTCTGTACCTTGAGTCTACAAGGTGCGGACAATATCTGGGCAGAGAATTTAGGGTGAAGACAGCAGGCAGCAGCTCCCCAGTGAGTCAGGGAAGACCAAGCAGCAGAGACACCCGAGCACTCCCAGCAGCCAACCATGTCCTTAAGGACAGAGTTGTTTCCTCCAAAGTATTCAGAGGGTCCTGCCCTGTGCTGTCATCTCCCAAGCCTACAGCGAGTGTGAGGGACACAGAATCCATCCCCAAAGCAGGAGCCCCCCAAATGCGCTGAGCTCAGAGTGTGGCAGCAGTGACATCACACAGAACCCTAGCAACGGCACCCCAGTGAGTGACACACCCTCTGCCTGAGCAGGAGCGTCCACAACGCCCTTCAGAGTCCTCCTTTGCCTGCCACTGAGACCGAAGATCAAGTCACGGCAGACTTGTGGCCTTGGGCTTCTGCATCCTTTAAGGGTTGAAAGGAAGGTGAGAGAAAGCCTACAAACCTGTCCTCTTAAAAAAAAAAAAAAAAAAAGTTGCAAAGTCATTTTATTAAATAGGATACTTTTAGCAACAACTACAATAAAAAAATAAAACCAGTTCACCCTGATGGTTCCAAATGTAGCCTCAGACCAGTGGCATCAGTGTCACCAGGAAACTTGTAAGAAACTCATGAGCTCAGGCTTCTTTCCAGATCCACCTAATCAGAAACTTTAGGGTGAGACCTGGCTATTACTCAGGGCCCCCCCACCAAAGAAACAGAACCAATAAAATGTATGAAAACTAAAATAGTGAATACCCATATGCCCATTAACATTTTATTACAGTTGTCTGAATCTTTGGATCTTATTTTGGACTCATTTCAGAGTACATTTGAAGCATCAGTAACCCCTAAACACTTAGACACACAAAGCTCTTGTTAGAGTTTGGGACATGTTTACAGTTTTTAAATGCAAATGTACACAAGACATGCACAAATTTTAAGTGTCCAATTTCTAAACTCTGAGCAATGCACAGGGAGTATGACAAGTTGCAACACCAGGTGACCACCATGCAGCCCCCACTAACCTGAGGAGGGAGTGACACAAGAGCCCTCCTTCCCCTCTGCAGGGTAAAGGCTGCCTCCCCAGCAGGTGAAGCTGTCACTGTGAAGCCTAAAGGGAACATCTTCAATTTCCCCAACCAGAAGAGTCTGAGACTGCACATAGAAAACAAGGTTTTTTTCTTTGTTCATTGGTTAATTTAGTTTTTATTGATCCCTAGAAATTGTACATGTATGGGTAGAGTTGGGTATTCTGGTTCAGGTAGACATTCTGTCATGATCAAATCAGGGCATTTACTGTGTCCAATTCTTATACCTCGGGGAGGAGGGGGAACTCTTCTCTGAGACACCTGGTTTCCAACAGGATCAGCATTGACCTTCTTGGTCCTGCTGATCACTATCTGGTCTTTTAACACTTCTGAACCAACAACTAGTGCCCCTCAAATACTCATAGGGATAAGTGTTTGCATCTATCTGTCTGCTGGTACCTGCATGGGGACACAGAGAAGGGCAGATGCAAGACCCCCTTGAGGAACTCACAGGGTGGGAAGGAGAAGATGCACATGATTTTTGAGTGCTCTCTCTTATGGAGTGGATGATTGTGTCTTCCCAAAATGTACATACTACACTTGTGCTCTCCATCCTATGGTATTAGGACATGAGGCCTAATACCATAGACCTGGTATGAGGGGATAATCAGGGTTAGGTTAGGTCACAGAGGTACAACCCATGATGGAATTAGTGCTCTTCCTTGTAAGAAGAAAGAGATATGAGAGTCCTGTCCAAGTCCCAAGGATAGGTCATATGAGCATTCAGCAGGATGTGACCACATGCAGGGCAGAAAGGGCCCCCACTAGACACCAAGTCTGCAGGCACTTTGCTCTCAGACTTCCGGTTGTTGTTTAAGCTGCGGTTTTGTTATAGTGGCCCCCATACACTAAGACATTCTGCAAGCTCCCAGCACTTGGCACTGCCACATGTGTTTTGTTCATTTTAGCCATTCTAAGCTGTATGTAACCCACACATCTATGCATTCTAAGACAGAGACAACAGTGGTAGGAAACCTGTTTAGAGCCAGGGTGAGCACATTTTCTATAATGCTTGCTGTGGTTTCAGGGAGTGGCATGTATTACAGCAGGTAAATTTGTTATCTGAGTGTTATGGTTTGTGTCTAGTTGTCCCCCCAAAGCCTCATGCAGTCATGGGGTAAGGACTTCTAGAGTTTGTGTTAACTCATGATCCCCTGGGATTATGTGTGATCCAAGGCTGGGATTATGGGTTTTAGTACTGCTGGGATTACCCATTGGTGTGAGTACTTCCCCTACCCTGGGGCAGGCAATTTGCATTACAATGTAAGGTGGGAAGAGAAGCCAGTGGCTTGAGCTGCTGCTACTTCTCCCTTGCACTCTTGCTCTTTGCCGCCGCCATGAAAGGTTGCTTTCTGCTGTGTGCTGCTCTGCCTTGGACCCAGCTGAGTATGGACTGAAACCTCCAGTAACTGTGAGCTAAACAAACCTTTCCTTCCTTCATTTTGAGTGTCGGGTATTTGTCCCAGCAACGAGAGAAGAGTAACTAAGACACTGAGTAAAATTCTAGCTCTCACTCTGCTGAAAGAATATGATAGAGTGGATTATGGGTTGCAGCTCATCACATGCTGAACTAGGATGGTTCCTGCATGGCCTTGCAATGGCTTTGAGCAGAGCAACTTCCAGCCCTTCTGAAGTTGAGTGCAGCCACCTGCCCTGCCCTGGCCAGAGGCTCTTAGCTGGCCTCGCAGGAGCACAGGCTTAGCATGCGTTAGACACTGGCCACTGTCGTGCTGCTTCTGCTGTAGCCCTTGGATGATCTCGGCCTGGGTACCTGCTGGAGCACAGAAGAGAAGACACATGTGCCACGGGCCAGGGATCAAGTCCCACCACACCCAATCTGGATCATCCAGCAGCCCTGCAGACCTATGGGAGTCAGTTCAGGTCTTCAGAGCCCCTGAGCTGCAATGAGGTTTGGTGCTCAGCATCACATGGTCCTCGCTATTCACATCAAGTTCGAAGACATAGTGACTGGGCTTTTAGATCAGGCCTGGTGGGCGAAACCTCTCACCCTAAAATAGCCTGCTGTCATCGTTCCACACAGCAGCTGGACAGGCACCATCAACAGGAAGACCTGGCTGAGATGCC